TATGCTGCGCCAGTTTTCCATCACGCGCTACCAGCCTACCTTTCGCAAGAATTAGAACGCGTTCAGAAAAGGGCAATGCGAATCATATGCCCTGGTATAGAATATCAGCAAGCCTTAACACTTATGAGTTTACCAACGGTTGAGGAGCATCACCACAACATTTGCACACGCACGTTTGAAAGCATAATGAGCGAACCGAACCACAAGTTAAGAAAGTTGTTGCCGCCTCTTTATAAGAGCAACTATAATCTAAGGCACGCGCGCACTTTCACCTTGCAGCCTTGTAAGACAAATAGATTTAAGAACAGTTTTTTTATGGCCTCAGGCAGAATTGTAAATAATTTTTAGGTTTCTTATTATACGTTTTTAGTCTTAGCTATTAAAATTATGACTCATTTTTACAATTATGAGTATAAATTGTTACCATTATGTAAATAGCAATTCAGCATACCTACCTAAATCCGATTTCCATTGGAAAACGAAATCCTAACTGAGGTTTCTCTACGGGAATTCATTGTTAGAAGGCATCAATTTCAGCTTAAAAGGAGAATAGAAAAAAGCAGTTAAAGAACCGTATGAAGGAAAAGGCCTGTCAGCAGATGAGTTTTACTGACTGGTTCTGAAAAGTATCATCTGCCAACGGCTTGTCGGTTCTACTCCCCAGAAGAAAGAAAGGAAAAATCATACTGCCTGTGTGCTTGTTATCTGCTGTGTGACCCGCGTTATCAACGGCAAGATAATTGAAGACGAAGCGATCCATAACTTTTGGCGATTTTTGGTTGCGGACGTCTTCTTACCGGTTATAAAACCGCCAGGAACTTACTTTAATAATAAATTGTTGCCTTCTTGCAGATCTTCGAAGTTCAGCTCTTCTTTCCCGACCACCATCGTTCTTTTGTGTGCTCCGCTGGATCCAATTCGTCCTGATAGAAATTCAAAGAGTGCGTGACGGCAAAGTGTTTTAATTTTTCTTAGACAAACATTGCATTGAAAGTTGCGAAGTTGAAGAGCCGCTACATTTCTTATTAAATAGTTTTCCAGCCCGATTCCTTCAGCAACAACTTGAATAGATTTATGCTTGATTTTATGTAACTCGGCACGCGTCGTTGGAAGATTCCTTCAATGGACGACCGCGTTTGAACTTTTCTTATGGTACAGCTAGTCATTCACAGTTGCGTTATTTTTGGTATTTTTTTCCCTCGCGCGTGGTTTCGCCCCCTAATTCCCTTCCCCTTTCCTTTCGAACGCCTGTAGCCTGCGTGGCAGGCGTTGGAGGGGAAGGGAAAGGGAGTTTTAGGCGCGAGAGAAACGCGCGGGCCTCCTCGCGCGCCCCTCGCGTTTCTCTCGTGTCTAAAACTCCTTTTCCCTTCCCTTTCGAACGCCTGCCACGCAGGCTACGAAAAAACGGAAAAGGAGTGCCAAATCTGCTATCCGATAACAGAAATTTCCCTGTTCTAGGCTGATAAACAACGGTTGGCATTAAGTTACACAGTCATATTCTTTTTCTGCTCACAGTCCGAGACACTTCGCAGCAATTGACTGGTTGTTAATACGGCTCGATGAACAACAAATTGTACGTTCTATCATCTATCGATTTTCTTTACGACAGATTTCAAACTTTTGTGGCAAGTTGGGGGAGCAAGCACGATTTAAACGTCGGGAATACGGTTAATGCGCGGAACAACGATACTCTTGATTTACGCCGTCGACTATGCCACCGATGTGGAAGGTACTCTTTGCCCTCATTTATCTCTTATCATTCATTGAAGGAAAAGTCAAATCCTCCCAAGGTAGGTCCCATTAGTGTAGTTTAATCATATAGTTTTGTGTTCAACCGGACACGTTTTGCCTTCAGGCCCGGCCAGCAAGGAATAGTGGGATACCAATATAGCCGAAATTTTCCTCATAAGATACCAATATACCTAAAAATTATAAAATCTTTGATACCGAACTTCTGTTGAACACATTTTCGTCACTTTATCTCATACATCCGTATATCAAAATGTCTACAAAAAACTCGTGTTTAAGAGCGCGTCTCCGTAAGAACCGACCATTGATTTCGGATCGAAAAATTTATTTCCCTTATATCCTGGGATATTAAAGCCGCTACCTAAGTAGTTACAAATTTGCATTTCGTTTGATGGAAAATGCAAAATATTTTTTTTATGAATTTTTAAATTTCCGGCCGGTCAGCATATCCTTTGAAACTGCAAAAATCGCCAACATTGGCGACGCTATAGAAAACAAACACTTGGCGCAAGAAGCCCGATTTTCTTTTTAATATACAGATACACCACTCTAGATTTCCTAGCCATATCACAGTTCCGAACTATTTCTTCATTTAACGGCAAGAATCTTTTTTCTGGCACGTGTTATCGGCCCTTTATCAAAACACGAAAATAGCTCAACTTTGAGGGCAGTTTTAAAAAGTGTGGCACCTGTCTGAACTTTGCTATCTGTATTAATACAAACTAGGAATAATAGTAAAACAAAAAAGAATAAAATTTTTGTGCCCTTTACGTTTTGCAACTTGACCGCCCTTTGAATTTCCAGAAATTTCGAAGACCTGACAATTAACGAACACTCGCTTTGTCGATCTGCTAGTGAAGTCCAACTTCACTTGGTAGCTTTATGGATCTGTCCTAAGTTCTTTATCATTTAAACGTTTTCTCTTGATCATCTGAAGCTATATTGGCCGTTGATTCCGTGTTTTTACTTGTTTTGTTGCCAGTTATCTGATTTATAATATAACTATTAGTTCGTCCCTACAAGGCTTATGTTCTCCCTCACCTTGCGTACTGTAGTCCCCTTTTACAGGGAGTAGGCAACGCAGAGACTACCAAAATAGAGACAACTAATTATTTTGTATTAAGAACTATATTAGGCTATTCGAAGTCTGTGTCATATGACTTCCTCCTCAAGATGGCTGATATCAAGTCCCTGGAGAAACGTAGGCAATTCCAATCTTTAGTTATGTTATACAGATGCTTGTATGACAAGGGGGCACCTTATATCAGTGAATTTTTTAATTTTAAGGATGTACCGTACAACTTACGTGGGCTAAGTACAAGGCTAGATCTACCTCCCTTTAATCTGGAGTTTATGCATCGATCCTTTACATTTTTAGCCAGCAAACTTTGGAATGCGTTACCTCCAAAAGTCAGAAAATCACAAGACATTGCGTCATTTAAGCGATCTCTTAAAGCTCACATGGCTTAGGGTGTAGTGCTTGTAAATTTTGTAAATAGCTTTAGTTTTAGATTCTGCTTTTAGCCATTTTGTAGATCTATTCAGTTATAGTTAGTATTTTTACAGTAGTAATGTATAATTTGCTAGCATAACTTTTTTTTTAATTTTTAATTTTCTAATTTGTATATGTATTGTGAAACAAATTTTTGCGGACCTCTTTATTCACAGACTTTAACTGCGTATCAAACTTTGCCTATTGTTAAGGTTGCATTTTTGGACGACAATAGTGCTTTTATTTCTCACATTCTTTTGTGTTTCGATAAGCGGCGTTCGAACTTTAATCGGGTATGATCGGGAAATTTTGGGTGTGACATTTTTTTTACTTAGTAGTGGTTTATTGGTAAAAAAATTTTAAGCGGGACACAAAACGATCAAACACTGGCTGTTTGAAGGAGAGATTGCACGGTGATTCATATCCGTTCATGAAGCCCGCGTAAAAGAACGACTTCGGTTATTGTAACTGGGAACTTCAAATTTTGTTTACGCAGAATTTAGGGTCAGATATCGACAGGAACGCTAAAATGAACCGAAGGGCATTTCATGGTCCTGTTCGAGGCTTTGTCTGCTTTGTTCCTCGTTTAAGAGAATGTATAGGAAGTCACAGCTATGATTAACAGCACTGTAAATCATAGTTACGATTCCAGAGATGATTTTAATAGTACTATAGAAATCATAATGAGGATTGAGATACTAATGGTATCATATCATGATGTTTAGGGTACTTGTCAAATCATATTATGATTTGTTATGATGCTTACACAGCTGCTTACAGAATTATTACATAATCACATGAATCATCACATATGATTTCATAGCCTGAATTCCTGTGGTTTTACCTACAACTTCGCGTTAAAGCTTGGATTGAAACTCTGTTTAATAACAGCAAATTACTATATGTACACCGCCGCGAGAGAAGAGGACCGCTATGTTTTCGAAACCCTTCTAGCTTTCCTAAAAAGCAGACTTGACATAGCAAAGCACAAATAATCTAAATCTTAAATCGACCGTTAACCATGTCATTAGTAAATCTGTTTCTTCGCTCGTTTGTTTCTTTTTTGTCGCACTATGTATATTCTAATTTGCAAGTAGCTAATACTCTGTTAACGTAAGTAATAATCAGCCTTATGGTGTCAGTGTAAACAAATGTATATGAGTTAGTTTTAGTGCTATTTATTTTTTCTTAGCCGTTTTCCTAAGCCTTCTTGTTGTGTTTCAGGTGCGTACGTTCCTTAAGATAGCTTGTGATCTTCTTCCGAGCTATTTTGATTTTTAGTGATCGTCAACGGAGCTCAATAACACATACCTCGCCTCGCCTCGCTTGGCTCATAAAGCGGCTGTCATGCAGGCTAGTAAATAAGATATCAGATGCTGCATAAATGTTCCACAGGAGCTCAACTGTCAAATTTTGACCAATCGGAGATGAAAATTCGGACGTAGAGCGTGACCACGCTAGGCAAAGCCAACTGCCTTCCCTGTCTGTAAAAACTAGCTGAATTTTCGCGTCCGAAGTCAGTTTGATTGTGAAAGGCTTGAACCCAGGAGTCATTTCAAAAGTAGGTTGAGTTTGATCGTCCGGGTGAACGTAGAACTGTTGTTGTTGAGAGTGACTAATGTTTCGACAACCTGTGCGGTAGTCATCTTTAGAGTCGAAGTGAGTTGTATCACGTCAGTTGATGGTAGTATACTCTGGTTATTGATCTGATTGGTCAATTACGTCGAGATGTTATTGGTCGTCTGTCAGTTAAGCCGTGATGGCACCACCACTTAAATACACCTGGCTAAAAGACGGAAAGCTTTTGAAAGGGAGACGACTGGACCCATACCTCAACACCTCAATTTGGTACCTTAATTTGGTATCCAATCGATATGGCAGCATAAATCATACTTACACGGTTATAGTTCTAGGTAAGAACACGGCTGCATATCTTCGGCGCCATTGTAGACTCGTAGTTTATCTCTCAACGGACAGCCGATTTTTGAGACAGTTTAATGCCCATTCTTAACAAACTTGATACCCCATATTAACAACTATAAACGCACTGAGAAAAGGTTGTACTCGGTGTAAAGAGTTTTATAGCATTCAACTCATGGCAAGGCCAACACAACAGAGATAGTTGTAGAAAAAGTAGAAGATAGACCCCTAAGCCCACTTCTCTTTTCGAAAAAAGGGTAGGTATTTTACGCCTCCTTCAAATTGTAACGGAGTGATGAAAGAGACAGCGCCAACAGCTTATCGTCACTGACCAGCGACGTGATCTTCTGACCACAGCCTCTCCGATCTTATTAGAACCTTACTGGTACCCAAGCTAAACCGGTGCTCATCCAACTGAGGAAAAAGGCGGCTAACCTCCAGGGGGGACTTCCATATGAAAGTGTCGGGGATATTCGTCGGAATTAAACCCTAAGAGAGACCAATGTGGGTGTGTCTCAAGCTTAAACCGACCCCTAAAGGAGACAACACACAAACAGACATAAGAGCTAGAGTGTGTCGTGTTCTTTTTTAAACATTACACTTCTGTGCGTTCAGTGTCAAGGCGTTTTTTTAAATTTCTTTATGCACAGCCCTAAGAGATACCGGAATGGGCAAATATGGTGACTTTCTGTCCGAAGCATCCGTAGTGAGACCGAAATCTGCAATGTACACCCCAAACGAGACGACGAGCACCCCTATCACTTTTATATGGGAATCCCCTCTGGGCTAAGCCCCAAACATTGATGCCGTTTGATAGGTTCTCGATGAATAAGACAGTGCAGTTTTCAGCGAATGCTTTATCTTGTTTAAAAGATGCGAACCGTTTGACAATGTATGGTCTTTACATCTCTCAAACTGACTCCATAAAAGTTGAAGGACAGTTGAGGCCTGGCATTTAACCGGGTGTTACGGTCGTGAGGAGGCAGAGGTTCACGGTTATTCCTTAAAAACGAATTACAAAATGGTTAAATAGTACCATGTAAAATAATCTTACATGTTTTTCTGGGCCAATTTGGCTGTTTCCCGTCTAAGTTCTCCGTTACAATACGACTATTTCACGCGACTAACTCAGCTGTTTTAAAAGAGATCTGTATATTTCAACGAATTTCCTTGATCGTTTTTTTAACAGGTAAACCACGAACTCGACCTATCCTGCGAGAGGGCCTTCCAGAGAACACGTCTGTAGAGATAGGGAAAAATGCTACGATGAAATGCCTTGCCGTGGCCAGTGGGACGCTTCCAAGTTTTAGGTGGCTAAAATGGGACAAATCTTTCACATTTGTGTCGAAAATAAAAGACAACTTAATAGAAGGGCCATATCGGCCTATAGATTTACGATATTATCATTCTTTGCAATCGGGGGACGAATATGGTTCTGAGGTGACAATTACTAATGTCACTGAGGACGATTTTGGACTCTACACTTGTTATGCGAGTAATCACATTGGAGCGGAATATAACAGCGCATTCCTCAGCAGATACGTGAGGCCCACTACTCCTTCTAAACGAGGTAGGAAGTTGTAAGTTGTGTATGAAACCGGAATGTTAACCGTGAGTTTTAATTTTACAAGCATTTTATCCAACCTGTGTTTACCACAATACGCAATTAGTATGGCTCGAGTTATGATCTGAGCCGTCGGAATTACCTGTACATAGAAAATATATATTACAGAGCACGTCTTCTCCTGGTTCAATGGGGAGCGATGCAGTTTGGCCCCTGACACCAGAGGCATGTTTAGTTTGTAACAGTAAGGTAAGTGTTTCCCAATCACTCTGGAGAGATAAAGCGCTTACTATAATGAGCGGACGTCTGGGTTTTACTCCATGTTACACTCGGCCAAGTTAAAACAAGAATGCACTAGACATTGACGATCTCACCGAAAACTAGGTGACTTAAAAGAGTCTACAGCTCTTCTATTTTAGCAAAACCATTCTTCTCTGAAGCTTTAAAAAGAGCATTTAGAACCTATAAACGCATACTCAGTTAAGGGTAAGTGTAAGGCAAAGGGAGCACAACCTTTTAAGAGATTTTGGAAAAGAGACAACTGGAAGAGTACCTCAACACCTCAATTTGGTAATAAAGTACCTAAAGATGGCGGAGAATCACACTTGTATGATATCTAATCGAAATGGCAGCATAAATCACTCTTACACGGTTAGAATTCATAATCATGGTCAGAGGCACAGTCGCATATCTTCAGCTCCTTACTAAGATCGTATGTCTTTATTTGTTTGTTATTTATTATTCACCAGTCAACATTTTAGACGACAGCCGATTTTGAGACAGTTTGACACCGAGTCGCAACAAATTTGATACCTCATACACTGAGGAGGGGCAAGTTGTGAAGTATAACTGGACTTTACTTTTTGCTTTTGCTATTTCTTTCAACCTCTGAAAAGTTAAGGTGGCTACGGTTTCCCTCTTTTTTGACAGTTTTGACTTTAAAAGAAAACAAACAAGCAAACAAACAAACAAACAAACAAAAAACAAAAAAGCAAGCTAAAGCCATAACAGCACTTTTGTAGAGTTGGATTATACAATGAATGCTTAACTTAAAACAACTATTATTTCGTCGTTAGCAGTTACCATGGCAGCCTATCTAAAGGATTATACGGACCTACTTTTTAGCTTCCAGTACTGATAACTAGAAAACTAAGCAGGTGACCCCTACTTTTTGGGGGCGACAACTTTTGGCATTAGAAAAGGAAAATGCACAAAAAAAAGAAAGATCAGACTTTTAGCGAAAGGGGAAATAGGACATTTTTTTGCCGTAGAAATTTCCTTCTGTAGAATTTTTTCATAAAAATAGGGGGTCACCGGACTTGTTTTCTTGTAAAATACTTCGAGATTTCACAAATTCCCACGTGTGTTCTGGTGGTTTTAAAATCTGAAAATCTGAATTCTATAAGAACATGGGTTACCTTATTCGAGGTGGGCGCTAATTCGAGTTTGGGAGCTTATTCGAATAAATACGGTACTCATGCACTGTTTTGACTACCGCTGACTGTTGCGTGCATACTTGCAAGCATCAATCGAGTTTGTTTACAGTCTTTGCAGAGAAGAAAAAAATTATAAGCTTCCATTTTACGAATTGTTATTATGTTTTCCTGTTCACTGTAACGTTTGGTAACGTGAAGCATCACCTTCTGGACTCACTTTTCAACCTCAAGAGACAAAGCGAAGTGACAAAGACAAAATTGTTTGCTGGAGACTGTCAGGAAAATCGACTTGAAGTTTTTAATTTCCTTTGTCGATCTTGTAAGGACTCTACACAGCAGCTTTGGGGGTAAACATGATCCAAAAGACAAAATGTAGCCAAGAAGATAAAGTGTGGTTAATTGTGGTAGAATTCTAGTTTATTATTTTTGTTGTTGTGCTAATACTTAGTGCACATGCAAGTATTCCTTTGAGTTACGCTTTGAGCGCAGAAATTAGGGTTTTACAGTGTATATAGAGTTAGATAAACCCGAATTTTATATAAGACAGGCCAAAAGTAACCTGGTTTAAATTTTAAATTAAAACTTGCACAAAAATAGCCGCGCGCCGCCATATTTGTTTTCTGTATCTCGCGCTTTCAAAAGTGGGGTGATATGCTCGCGCGCGATGGACTCCCCACGCGAGAAAACTAGTAGGAGCCACCATAATATGTCCAGAAGAGGTCGTGAGAAAAATGAAAAATAATTCCTGGATTCCCACTGACCAAAAGCAACTGGTTTAATTGAAGCCCCTCTTGCCAAATTAAAACTGGCTCTTGAGACACCAATAAAGTGTGAAACAATTTTTTTTTTAACTTTCAAAACCGGTCGTTTCGCATATTGAGGTAGTTGTTGGTGGTTTGGTATCAGTTTGCCTTGTCCTCATCGCTGTCGCAGTTTCAACCCATCTTTCATTTAATCTGTCTGGAAATTCACTTTTTTCGAAAAAAGCACTGCTTACATAAATAGTGCTTGCTGAATTGGTCGAAGATACAGAATCGAGGAGATGACGCATGACACGATCATTCACCAATTTTAGCAAAATACCAACAGACACCAAAGCAAAACCGTTAGAACTGTAGACTCTTATAGGACAGAAGAAAGTTACTTGAAGGCCTTGGAAGTAGCTTGCTTTGTTAACTTGAGACGAACTTGAGCGGAACAAGTGTCGACGTTCCTTAGAAAGAGGATTTTAGACAACGACAACCCAGTTGAAAGTCCTTATTTGAAAATCAGTTGCTTGAAGAAAGTGTACTCGATTCTCAGCTGCTATCTTTGGCTAATCCTTCATTTAAAGTTCAAGATGGTGATTAAATATGGTGATTGAGCCCTTCACGCTCTTTATACAGGCATTAGTAGATTAAAACCCTCTTTGGCTTGTAAAATATTCGATATATTATCCTATAACTGTAAAATTTGGGTAGCTTACAAGAAACAAGATTTTAAAACGTGGGATAGCTCCCCCACTGAAAAATTCCACTTGCACTTCTGCAAGCGATACTTGGAAGTAAGTAATAAGTTAAGACTTCTAATGCTGCATGTTGAGGCGAATTAGGTAGATTTCCATTAATAGTTTATATCAATGAAAAACGTCTTAACTACATTATGCATCTTTTTGAGAAAGATAGAGACTCTATTGTCAAACAAGCATTTACTTGTACCTAAAAATATTCATTCTAATGGCAATACTAGTTTTCATAGTAATATTACGGAATTGTCCAAATCTAATAACCTACCGGATTTTGTTCCCAACAATTTAGATAAAACCAAAATATCAAAAGATAAAGTTTAAAATATTCTAATGAAATCGAAGACGAGATTCACTTTCCCTGCTATCGCCCCAAATATTTTATTTTATTTTAAACAATATTTAGTCAGGGGTGCCCAGTTCAGCGAGGCTGGTTTGAATGGGGCCCTGGTGAAAAGAAAAAATGACACAAAAGACAATTTCCGATAAAAAATGGAACAACTAAGTATAGCAAAAGTATTGGAGGCTCAATTTGGCTTAGATTTAGTGACTTTTTAGGCCAAACCCAAACGTTTTTAAATCGTGCTCGCTCCTCAGGGCGAGAGCAAGCGTGTTCCAGATCTTGGCTTCGCTGAACCTACATCTTAGAAATTAGAAATGAATTTCTCGCTCAAATACAAAGTCATCTCCATAGTTTTCAGCAACTATCTTATACTCGGACCTGGTGATTAAACTGATGAACTCCGAAGATATTTATCTTAATTTACGATTGACGAATTCTACCTCGTCATCCGTCCTAGTCACTGCGGAGCTACATGAGAAGCATGCGCGTGCTAGCTAGTCAGTACGTTGCATGAGTGCTTTCCAGTCGATCGCCACAGTGTTAGACTCTGAGCAATGTTTCTCCATCCAGAACGTTATCTCCTCTTGCTATTGCCTTCTACCCCTCGGATCACGTTAGGTCAGATTTACGTGAGCCCGCCTGCTTTTTGTGTTGATAATCGGCGAACCATTTTTCACATACAAGCAACTCAATTATGCCAAGCACAACGGACCCTTCTGCATGGGCGCCTTCTGTTGAGAGCCCACCAGGCGAAACATTAGCCCCAGCAGGTCTCACCACTGACCTTGAGCAGGCCGTCAGTCTTTTTGGGGCAGTTATTCTAATTTTTCCCCCACCGGGGAATGTTCCCGAAATGCGCGGGAAACCGCTTCACATTGCCCACCGGGTGAGAAGGATCGAAAAAGGCTCCGAAGCGATTGCTCCTCTTCTAAGGAAGAAGAGACAAAGACATCTCGGAAGGATTCGGATGACGCGATACGCGCCTCCGAGGACGAGATTCAGGACTTGCTTGTGAGCGAAAATGGGGGGAACGCGAGCGCACAAACACCACATGACAACGCAAATGCTTTTAAAAGAGTTGACTGCAACCTTTAGGGACGAGGAAAAGAAAAGGCGGCCCATCAACAAACAATTCGCCGAAATGACCGACAAACGTTGGAGCAAGAAACTTGTCCAAGAAGAGGTTTCGAATCTCTTGACGGAATACGACCCCCCTGAAAACTGTGTAGAAATATCTGCCCACGCGTTAACCCAGAAATCTGGCTATTCCTTAACGCGTTCAAAAGGAAAACCGACCTTCGGTTTGCAAATATACAGCAAGCCCTCCAGAAGTTAAGTTTTGCCACTTTAAAAAAAGCGGGAACACTTATCAAAATATGTGACTTGAGTGCCCCAACAAGCAGAGTCGATGTTGTGGCTTTATTAGGTCAAGCAGCAAGCGAATTATCTGTTTTGCGACGGGAACAACTCAAACCCTCCTTGAAGCCTGAATTCCATGCTCTATTTTCTTCGGAGACGATGTCCTCGCAGAAGCTGCCAATCGTGAAAGACTAAGCGAAAAAGATCAGCGATGTCAAAGAAACCCATCGTCTTGGAAAGAAGGTATGCTCCTTTAAGGGCCACAGCCGAGGATGGTGCGTCGCGTGTCCTTCCCCAAAAAAGGCGGTCGTGCATAGGAACTGCCCTTGTTGTGGCTTGGGTTTTCTCTTTTCGCTGTGCTATATGCCCGGCAGCCGGGAAGGGCAACTAAATGCCCGGCAGTCAGAAAATTTTCTAGAATGTCTGCAAAATCGTTTTTTCTAATGGTTTGACAGTATTCTCATCGGGCAGAATGGCTGGACATTTAAGCATAGTAATAGCGGCGGGCTATTCAAGCATGAACGCCCGACAAAAGCGCCACAATAAGAGAGAAAAGGAACGAATTTGGCGAAGATCGCTTACTACGATCGCCATTTTAAAATACTTATATTCTACTTTTTTTTAGATAAAACAGCGGCTTTTTGTAGTTAAAAGGCTTAATCTTCAACATTACGTAAAAGCCAGGAAAATTTAACAAGATTAACTTGTAGACTTTTTGCTTTCAAAACTCTATTTTCGGTGTTTTTAGTATGGGTTAAGACCGCATTAAAATTCAGTTTGGATTTTTTTTGTCCAAATAAGCGACAAACTCCGTATAAAACAACGGATTACGGAAGATGCACATCTCCCCTACACATTGATAGCTTTTTCACCTAAATTTAAGCAGAAGAAGTTGTAGAGTTTTACCCTTAAAAACCCTAGGTTCAAAATTCGCGCGTGTTCAGAGTGAAGTCTTTGTCTTACAGTATAACAATGGTTGCCATGAATAAACAATGAGCAGCTAAACTTCATCGTTATAACCTAAATGCAGTTATCTGTAAACAGAGTGTTTATGCAAATCGGCTGACAAAATAAGGGCTAACGACGCGCGAAGTTTGAATACTGATCGATACTGCTGGCTTTACGTTTGTAAACCACCAATGGATGTCGCCTATTAGACAAAGAAAGGTTTCTCTTTATCGCTTTACGCTCAGTGACTCCAACCAGCCACTCTACAAAGTAAAATTCGTTTGTAAAATTGGAATAGATGCGAACACTGAATAGCCTGTGTGTCGAACTTTCTTCCGACTGCTACTTGGATCGCTGACCTCTCCTCAGCTCTTCGGCGGTTTTATCAGCTATACGCAGCTATATGTTGCATATTCCAAACTCTGCAGAGGAAAATTGTTTAACGGAAAAAGAAAACCACACACTATGTCTGAAAAGCGACATAAAACCAAAAAATTTGGGAATTACCAAAATGTAATAGTGAGAAACAGTCCCACCTTGGCCGCCATGTTTTTGTTTCTTCTCAAAACCGTTGGTCTATGGTTTTTGACGTAATACAAATGTATATGAGTTAGTTTTAGTGCTATTTATTTTTTCTTAGCCGTTTTCTTAAGCCCTCTTGATGTGTTTCAGGTGCGTACCTTCCTTGAGATAGCTTGTGATCTTTTTCCGATCTATTTTCCATGTCTCATTTGATTTTTAGTGATCGTCAACGGAGCTCAATAACACACGTCTCGCCTCGCCTCGCTTCGCTCATAAAGCGGCTGTCATGCAGGCTAGTAAACAAGATTTCAGATGCTTCCGCATAAATGTTCCACATGTGCTCACCAGTTAAATTTTGACCAATCGGAGATGAAAATGGGACGTATAGCGTGACCACGCTAGGCAAAGCCAACTGCCTTCCCTGTCAGTAAAAACTAGCTGAATTTTCGCGTCCGAAGTCAGATTTTCAAAAACCCAGGAGTCAATTCAAAAGAAGGTTGAGTTTGATCGTCCGGGTGAACGTAGTCCTGAATAGGACTGTTGTTGTTGAGAGTGACTAACGTTTCGACAACCTGTGCAGTAGTCATCTTTGGAGTCAAAGTGAGTTGTATCAGGTCAGTTTCACCCTAGGTAAGACTCTGCCATAAACCAAGATTGCTGCTCCTTAATTATAGCGGGGGCTCGACGTGGACAAACTCACAAAAAAACTAGGGAACTGTGAAGAGTATATACTCGTGTTTGCTTTAATTGACCTTCTTTTTTTTTAGGAAAGCCTGTCTTCTCCGACCAAGATACCTTAAAGCCTGTCTTCTCCGACCCAGATACCTTAAGAAGAGCATTCAAAGCCTGGCCAGCGTCTCGCTCAGTTAAGCTTAAGTGTGACGCGAAGGGGACACCACCACTTAAATACACCTGGCTAAAAGACGGTGAGCTTTTGAAAGGGAGACGACTGGACCCATACCTCAACACCTCAATTTGGTACCTTAAACTGAAAGGTCTGGCACCTAAAGATGCTGGACAATACACTTGTATAGTATCCAATCGATATGGCAGCATAAATCATACTTACACGGTTAGAGTTCAAGGTAAGAACACGGCTGCATATCTTCGGTTCCATTGTAGACTCGTAGTTTATCTCTCAACGGACAGCCGATTTTTGAGACAGTTTAATGCCAATTCATAACATACCACATATTAACAACTATAAACGCACTGAGAAAAGGTTGTACTCGGTGTAAAGAGTTTTATAGCATTCAACTCATGGCAAGGCCAACACAACAGAGATAGCTGTAGAAAAAGTAGAAGATAGACCCCTTAGCCCACTTCTCTTTTCGAACAAAAGTGTAGGTATTTTACGCCTCCTTCAAATTGTAACGGAGTGATGAAAGAGACAGCGCCAACAGCTTATCGTCACTGACAAGCGACGTGATCTTCTGACCACAGCTGCCTCTCCGATCTTATTAGACCCCTACTGGGGGTCTTGCCGGGGTTCTAACCCGTGACCTTTCCCAAACTAAACCGGTGCTCATCCAACTGAGGAAAAAGGCGGCTAACCTACCGGGGGGACTTCCATATGAAAGTGACGGGGATGTTCGTCGGAAAATTAAAATGAAACCCTAAGAAAGACCAACGTGGGTGTGGCTCAAGCTTAAACCGACCCCTAAAGGAGAGAAGACGCAAACAGACATAAGAGCTAGAGTGTGAGTGTTCTTTTTTAAACATTAGTGTAAAGGACAAGACATAAGAACAATACCTTTTATTGATTTCGTGATTTTCATGCTTTGATCCTAGTTACTAGCGTAGTTACAATGTTTACCTGATTTTCTATTGGTTTTGTAATGAGATATTTCGGCGTCCCCACGCGGGTATAAAAGCGCGCGTTAGCGTCCTTTTGGTCAGGAAAGGTCAAGTAGGATTCGCGTCGTAACATCGTTTTTGTGGTTTGTTTTAACCTTTGGTACAAGCGGGACCGATATGTAAGTGATTTCTTTTGTTATTTCTTTTGTTTAGTTTCGTTCTTTAGTTTGTGGGCAAAAGTACACGAATGTTACTGTACAAGTATACAGATTTAAGCTTAATTGATTTATAATTGTTTCATGAGCGAAAAGCGGATTTGAACGCCTGTAAGAGCAACGCCCACACTTTTACTTTATAGTACAAGGATTAAGATCAGATTTATGGAATTATTGTCTAATTTCAGTTTATGTAGCTTTTACGCAGATTTTACCGTCTTGTTATCGACCTAATCGTCATAGAATCGCTTTATTGCCGTTTTCAAGCGTTAGCTTGTTGATTACGCGTTATTTGTCTTAGTATCGCCCTCTCGCCAAAATTGATAGAGATTTTTGTATTGTTATTTCAGTTTAAGGTCAATCTTTGGTCTATAGATTTTGGTCTTTGGAATTTGGAATTAAATCACCGTTAACCGTCACCTTTGGTTTTCCGTGGTTTTCTTGTTTTGCCGACCCGTAAAATAGTCCCTAACCTAACCTGCTGCGACACCCCCCTCGACGTTTCGTTTCTCGTTTGTTTGTTTGTTTGGGTCGTCGCCAGCCACAATTAGATTTCTGTGCGTTCAGTGTCAAGGCGTTTTTTTTTTTAAATTTCTTTATGCACAGCCCTAAGCGATACCGGAATGAGCAAATATGGTGACTTTCCGTCCGAAGCATCCGAAGTGAGACCGAAATCTGCAATGTACACCCCGAACGAGACGACGAGCACCCCCGTCACTTTTATATGGGAATCCCCCCTGGGCTAAACCCCAAACATTGATGCCGTTTGATAGCTTCCGTCGATGAATAAGACAGTGCAGTTTTCAGCGAACGCTTTATCTTGTTTAAAAGATGCGAACCGTTTGACAATGCATGGTCTCTACATCTCTCAAACTGACTCCATAAAAGTTGAAGGACGGTTGAGGCCTGGCGTTTAACCGTGTGTTAAGGTCGTGACAAGGCAAAGGTTCTCGGTTTTTCTTTCAAAACGAATTACAAAATGGTCGTACAGTACCATGTAAAATATTCTTGCTTGTTTCTCTTGGCCAATTTGGCTATTTCCCGTCTAAGTTCTCCGTTACAATACGACTATTTCACGCGACTAACTCAGCTGTTTTAAAAGAGATCTGTATGTTTTAACGAATTTCCTTGATCGTTTTTTTAACAGATAAACCACGAACTCGACCTATCCTGCGAAAGGACCTTCCAGAGAACACTACTGTAGAGATAGGGAAAAATGCTACGATGAAATGCCATGCTCTATTCAGTGGGACGCTTCCAGATTTTAGGTGGCTAAAATGGGACAAATCTGTCACATTTCTGTCGAAGATAGAAGACAACTTAGAAAATGCGCCATTTAAACTTATAGATCCACAATATTATAATTCTTGGCAATCGGGGGACGAATATGGTTCTGAGGTGACAATTACCAATGTCACTGAGGCAGATTTTGGACTCTACACTTGTTATGCGAGTAATCACATTGGAGCGGAATATAGAAGCGCACTCCTCAGCAGATACGTGAGGCTCACTACTCCTTCTAAACGAGGTAAGAAGTTGTAAGTTGTGTATAAAAGCATTTTATCCAACCTGTGTTAACCAAAACACGCAATTAGCATGGCTCGAGTTATGATCTGAGCTGTCGGAATTACATGTACATAGAAAATATTACAGAGCAAGTCTTCTTCTGGTTCAATGGGGAGCGATGCAGTTTGGCCCCTCACACCAGAGGCATGTTCAGTTTGTAACAGTAAGGTAAATGTTTCCCAATTTCCCTTAATACTCACTCTGGAGAGATGAAGCGCTTACTATAATGAGCGGACGTCTGGGTATTACTCCATGTTACACTCGGCCAAGTTAAAACAAGAATGCACTAGACATTGACGATCTTAAGGAAAACTAGGTGTCTACAGCTCTTCTATTTTAGGAAAACCATTCCTCTCTGAAGCTTTAAAAAGAGCATTTAGAACCTATAAACTCTGACTCAGTTAAGCGTAAGTGTAAGGCATAGGGGGCACCACTTTTTAAAAGATTTTGGAAAAGAGACAACTGGTAGAGTACCTCAACACCTCAATTTGGTAATAAAGTACCTAAAGATGGCGGAGAATCACACTTGTATGATATCTGATCGAAATGGCAGCATAAATCACTCTTACACGGTAAGAATTCATAATCATGGTCAGAAGCACAGTCGCATATCTTCAGCTCCTTACTAAGATCGTATTTCTTTATTTGTTTGTTATTTATTCTTCACTAGTCAACATTTTAGACGACAGCCGATTTTGAGACAGTTTGACACCGAGTCACAACAAATTTGATACCTCATACACTGAGGAGGGGCAAGTTGTGAAGTATAACTGGACTTTGCTTTTTGCTTTTGCTATTTCTTTCAACCTCTGAAAAGTTAAGGTGGCTACGGTTTCCCTCTTTTTTGACAGTTTTGACTTTAAAAGAAAAAAACAAACAAACAAACAAACAAACAAAACAAAAACAGCAGGCCAAAGCCATAACAGCACTTTTGTAGAGTTGGATTATACAATGAATGCTTAACTTAAAACATCTATTATTTTGTCATTAGCAGTTACCATGGCAACCTATCTAAAGGATTATATGGACCTACTTTTTAGCTTCCAGCACTGATAACTAGAAAACTAAGCAGGTGACCCCTACTTTTTGGGGGCGACAACTTTTGGCATTAGAAAAGGAAAATGCACAAAAAAAAAAAAAAAGATCAGACTTTTAACGAAAGGGGAAAATAGGACATTTTTTTGCAGTAAAAATTTCCTTCTGTAGAATTTTTTCATGTTTTCTCTGGCGGCTCTTTTTAACCCCAACAAAATATTAAAGCGACATATACAAATAGGGGGTCACCGGATTTGTTTCCTTGTAAAATACTTCGAGATTTCACAAATTCCCACGTGGGTTCTGGTGGTTTTAAAATCTAAAAATCTGAATTCTATAAGAACATGGGTGACCTTATTCGAGGTGGGCGCTAATTCGAGGTTGGGCGCTTATTCGTATAAATACCGGACTCATGCACTGTTTTGACTACCGCTGACTGTTGCGTGTATACTTGCAAGCATCAATCGAGTTTGCTTACAGTCTTTGCAGAGAAGAAAAAAATTACAAGCGTCCATGTTACGTATTGTTATTATGTTTTCCTGTTCACTGTAACGTTTGGTAACGTGAAGCATCACCTTCTGGACTCACTTTTTAACATCAAGAGACAAAGCGAAGTGACAAAGACACAATTGTTTGCTGGAGACTGTCAGGAAAATCGACTTAAAGTTTTTAATTTCCTTTGTCGATCTTGTAAGGACTCTACACAGCAGCTTTGGGGGTAAACATGATCCAAAAGACAAAATGTAGCCAAGAAGATAAAGTGTGGTTAATTGTGGTAGAATTCTAGTCTATTATTTTTGTTGTTGTGCTAGTACTTGGTGCATGTGCAAGTATTCCTTTGAGTTACGCTTTGAGCGCAGAAATTAGGGTTTTACAGCGTATATAGAGTTAGTTAAACCCGAATTTTATATAAGACAGGCCAAAAGTAACCTCGCACAAAAGTATTAAAACTTGCACAAAAATAGCCGCGCACCGCCATATTTGTTTTCTGTATCTCGCGCTTTCAAAAGTGGAGTGGTATGCTCGCGCGCGATGGACTCCCCGCGCGAGAAAACTAGTACGAGCACCATAATATGTCCAGAAAAGGTCGTGAGAAAAATGAAAAATAATTCCTGGATTCCCACTGACCAAAAGCAACTGGTTTAATTTAAGCCCCTCTTGCCAAATTAAAACTGGCTCTTGAGACACCAATAAAGTGTGAAACAATTTTTTTTTAACTTTCAAAACCAGTCGTTTCGCATATTGAGGTAGTTGTTGGTGGTTTGGTATCAGTTTGCCTTGTCCTCATCGCTGTCGCAGTTTCAACCCATCTTTCATTTAATCTGTCTGGAAATTCACTTTTTTCGAAAAAAGCTCTGCTTACATGAATAGTGCTTGCTGAATTGGTCGAAGATACAGAATCGAGGAGACGCATGACACGATCATTCACCAATTTTAGCAAAATACCAACAGACACCAAAGCAAAACCGTTAGAACTGTAGACTCTTATAGGACAGAAGAAAGTTACTTGAAGGCCTTGGAAGTAGCTTGCTTTGTTAACTTGAGATGAACTTGAGAGGAACAAGTATCGACGTTCCTTAGAAAGAGGATTTTAGACAGGGGGTGCCAACGGCAGCTCAGTTGAAAGTCCTTATTTGAAAATCAGTTGCTTGAAGAAAACGTACTCGATTCTCGGCTGCTATCTTTGGCTAATCCTTCATTTAAAGCTCAAAATGGTGATTAAATATCTAAGGAGCCATTTAAGCGGCGGCTTAGAAGTACCACTTGATATTGTACACGAATACACTTATTTAGGAACCCGAATCTTCTCAACTGGTAATTTTAATGTGTCTCTCGACACTCGAAAGAGAAAGCCCTTCACGCTCTTTATACAGGCATTAGTAGATTAAAACCCTCTTTGGCTTGTAAAATATTCGATACGATGATCACCCCTATATTATCCTATAACTGTAAAAGACTTAGCGATAAAGATCGCGATGTCAAAGAAACCCATCGTCTTGGAAACAAGATAGGCTCCTCTAAGGGCCACAGCCGAGGATACCGGCGTGATTCATGGGATTTCTTGCGATTGGTACGTCGCGTGTCCTTCCCCAAAAAAGGCGGTCGCACATAGGAACTGCCCTTGTTGTGGCTTAAGCTTTCTCTTTTCGCTGTGGCTATATGCCCGGCAGCCGGGAAGGGCAACTAAATGCCCGGCAGTCAGAAAAGTTTCTAGAATGTCTGTAAAATCGCTTTTTCTAATGGTTTGACAGTATTCTATCTTCATTTAGAACAACCAAGCGATCAGGAAAACAAAAATGGCTTCGCAGCTGAGCGGTTGTGGTTTCTTGAGCATAGAGCGGCATCGACGCTGTTCCGACACTTAAAGAATTTCCTGAGTAGCAGCGCGTGACTCACGGGCACGATTTCACACAGGCTCAGTAAATACCCGGCAGTCTGAAAGCGCAGCTGCAAAGTTAAACCTTCTCTTTAGCTCCAGGATACATGTATACTAACCTCAATTAGTTTCCCAAAACAATCGAAGCGTCTCGCTTGGCTCAAAAAGCGCCTGTTATGCAGGATAATTGTATCATAGTCCATTAATAGACCACGTGATCAAGGTGTTTGGTGCTTGATGAGTATTTACAACTGAAAACGCTCATCCCATTTTGTATTGTATTTACCATGCGAAAAGAAAATATCTCCTTAAACAACGCATGGGCTACAGTCTTAAACAGGGTCAAGAAAAAGTCTCTTGTCTTAAACGGGGTAGCAAAATGAACGGATTTTGTCTTAAACAGGTTTAGGGTTTGAAGGCCTTGGCGGCTCACCTACACCCAAACTACCTTCAAGTGCCCCTCCGGGCTTGATATACTTGTGGTGCTGCTGAATCTTGGGAAAGCGTTCCTCTAATTTGCCAAATTTGTGCGAATTCTCCTCAAAATATTCTATCATGGTTTAGAATTGGTGAGTGAAGAGAAACAACAGAGTTTCTTAACAAGCGGTTAGGTATCACTCGGTTTTGAGTACATAGCCTATGTCATGGTTGACTCACGGGCACGGTTTCTCCTCCGTCTAAATGCCCGCAGTCCGATTTCAACATAATGAGTCTCTGTAGCCCCCATTGAAAGAACTTCATCGGCCTTCAGGGTAGCCAAGCTGGTACAAAGGGTTTATACATAAAGCAGACTGCCGGGTATTTAGCTTGGATGAAAACGTGCCCATGCTTCACGCACTGTTTCTCACGAAATTTTTCCAAGTGTCGCAACGCGTAGACTCTACTCTATGGCCAAGATACCACATACGCCCGAAATAGGTTATTTCGAAAATGAAGATTCCCTAGAACGAAGACGAAGACGTTAGCCCTCCAAAATGAAAACCACCTTAACGTCTTTTCCTTCGTCTCCGCAGACGGAAGCCCCGAAAAACTGGAAGACTCCTTGCAAATAAAGGTTGTTGTTGTTGAGTTCGTTTCAGAGAAAAGGCCAGTCAACAAACCAACAGTTTTGACACACAAAAAAGAAATTCATCCGTCCGAAGTAGGTTGTTTCGAAAACATAGACCCCCAAGAATGAAGACGAAGACGTAAGAGCCGCAAAATGAAGACCACCTTAATTTCTTTCCCTTCGTCTCCGCAGAAAAGAAAAGAAAAAAGAAGAATCCATGATTTTTCTATTTTTTATCTCGAAAATTTTGCCATGTTGTCTTTAAAAAAGCGCTTTATTCGAGTGTCAATAGAGAACTTAAGATAGAGACGTTTTCGGGGCGACGGCGACTGGACTGGCAGAGCAAGCCTGGAACAGAGGTAGCCGTCGCTTCCCTCCAAAATTCGAACCCTAAGATCGCCGTGAGCTCAGGAGGACGGCGCCTTGGAAGACAACAGAAGAGGAAAATATGGCTTCACATAAAGAATTAAGAGAATTAATGCTTATTTGCTTGCATGCAACAACAATAACAACAAC